AAAAATCCTCGCAGCATGTACGCGCGTGTGCCGCAGGCGATGGCGCAATTTGTTCTAAAAATAGAATTATTGTCCCATATCATGGGGACAACCCCAAAACTAGAAATGGCGCGCGCTCACGGTCTCCGTCCCCGATTATGGCTCCTGATTAGACATAACAGAGAAAATAGGAAATTCAGCATGTAACTCAACCTCGAGTCATGCACTGGCTAACAAACAAAAACAGATTCACAGATGTCATTTTTAAAGGTAACTTTCCTTACAAGCCATAATTTTATTAACAACTAAAATTAGCATTTTGAGCTTGACCGACATGGAGAATGCAAATCTCCTTTGTAAAATTGCGAACTCAAATTAAATAACGTTTACTAAATAATACGTTGTATAACGCCTGAGCCGCTCATAGAATAAAACTTGGAGTACAGATTCCTTTAAAATTAAATGTAAAAATGATCTTTTACATCATTTCACCACGAGTTTTAATTTGATTAAACTCCTTCAAGATCTAATTTTGAACTTTAAAAATCTTTTCTATTTTAAAATATTAAATAACTTTTTTGGTTCCCCCAATGGCAAACGGCACAATGACAGATTTTATAATAGTGGCAAACAGCTCTGAACATTAAAACTTCGCGGTTTAAATTGAAATGTGTAAAATTGCGAATTCACAACAAATTAAAATTAATAACGTTTATTTAATAATACGTTGTATAACGCCCGAGTCGCTCATAGAATAAAACTAGGAGTACAGATTCTATTAAAATTAAATTTAAAAATGATCTTTAACATCATTTCACGAGTTTTAATTTGATAAAACTCCTTCAAGATCTAATTTTGAACTTTTAAATCTTTTCTATTTTAAAACGTTGAATAATTTTCTTGGTTCCCCCAATTGCAAACACAATGACAGACTATATAATATTGGCAATCAGCTCTGAACATTAAAACTACGCAGTTTAAATTGAAATGCGACGAAGATTTTAATCGAAATAAAATTAAGACACTTTAATTTTTTTCCAACCAGCCGTGAAACGGTCTTCAATTGACGAAATTTTGTAGCTTCCATTTAATCATGTCGTTATTAGAAGTTATTGTTGACACAGCTTAAAGTAAATTGAAAACAAAACAAAAAAAAGCCCTAAGAGAGCATTTTAACCTCATCGATAGCAGCTCAAAGAGTACTGTGAAATGGTAAGCCTCTAAAATGAAGACTGAAAGAAAAAGAACAAAACGAAAAGAACGGATTTACAATTTATAAGGAACGGATGGGATCATAATCTTGACTAAAACCAAAAAGTGTTTTGCCGAGAAACAACAGTAAACTATGACATACGCCGCAAAACTATGGTGGGAAAACAGCCGCGTCTTCAACCAGGCTGTACTGTAAATACAAGTGTCGAATACGAGTTTTATAGTTTTTGTTCTGTCCTTCTACTGTTTCTTTACATTTGAGATATCTGCAGCTCGGCTTCTGAATTTGTTTAACAATGACGCCTGCCTATTAAAGACATTAATCGCTATGAATTCAGCGGTATGTGCACGCCCAGTTTCAAGTGTAAAGTTTCGCCGCTGTGCTAATCATTGCATCATAACATTGTCATAAAAAGGCCGAATCTGCAACAAGGCCAAAATGGAATTTGTGTAGAACGATGAATGAAGCCATGTTTCATAACAACACCTCAAGCACCTCGACGCCTTCGGAGATAAACATTTACTCTCGGCTAAGCCCTACATTTTATCTTTGTCTCGTCATTTTGGATGCCTTACTCGCTTTTGTGATCACTTCAGGAAATTTTCTGCTGCTTGTTACAATCTACCGCGATCCTTTCCGATGCCTGCGAACACCAACAACCTTTCTCATCGCAAATCTCGGGGTAGCCGACTTCTTAGTTGGAGCTGTCATAGGATTCGGTCGTACAGTGGAAATGTATTTCCTATATCTCGGTCAACAAGAACCGCCATATTTAAATACCTTCCAATATTTCGTAGGCGGTTTGGCCTTGTTTGCAGCTGTTTGTTCGTTTATGGCGATGTCGTGGGACCGTTTCGTTGCAGTTACAGACCACTTGAACTACAAGGGCAGGGTAACAGTGAGAAAAGTGAAGTTCTGCATTGTTGGAATTTGGCTGAATGCGCTCTTTTTGGCTGTGTTGCCCGCCGCTGGCGTGAGAAAGGTGAATTTTCTCTTTGCCTATTGCTACTCGCATGTTGTGTTGCCCGCAATCGTTCTAACAGTCATGTACATTGTGATCTTCAGAACGTTATCTCAAAAACTTCGGAACATAGAACAGCAAGTGTCTTCAGGGAATTCGTCGATTGAAAAGCGGCGAAATTTATATCGGGAGCGAAAATTGCTACTTGCGATTTTTCTTGTGTTAATTGTGTTTTACGCTTGTTTTACTCCATATTTCGTGAAAGTACATCTGTGGTTTTTCTGTGAAGGGTGCGAAAAGAGCGCCTCATTTTTAACATATCACTTTGTATCAAATGATATTTTGTCTCTTTCTTCGCTATTAGACCCTGTTATTTACGCTTGGCGGCTACAGCGCTTTCGTAAAACGTTTTTGAGAGTGCTGTGTTTGAAAAGAAACGTTACGGTTGAACAGTCTGTCTTGAAAGCAAGCTGATGTGTTCTTTTCGTGATCAACAAGTGAACAAAACGCTAACCAAATGATGTTGTATCCCCTTTACTGTTATTCTGACCTTAATAAACGAACATCTTTTCGTATAAATTTTGTATGATATTGAGTTTTTTTCATGTTTTGAAAATCTATATTGGAAAGACCATTTTCCATAAAGCAGAATACAAAAATATCTGCTGTACCTGCTGTTTAAACTTAAGTAGTATTTTGTTGATTTGTGTGCGTTTGACAAATCAGTTTTTGATTGACCCAACAAAAGTTGTGTTAATGTGAGAAATAATAATAAAAAACCCGCATACGTAGTAATTTTCTGGGAAATAATCAGTGACAGATCTCTCCAATTACTTTTTAATATTGCACGTCCAATAATTTAAAAGTTTATTCCGTTGAAAGGAAATGAACTTGTGATATGTGGGGATTCTACTAAAACTATACTATACTAAAACTCAAAGCCGGCGTTTTCAAATTCCTCTGGTTTGAAGAGCGTTTTCGAAGAGCTCCGTTTTCGTAACGGATCAGTGTGGACGGTAGGCCTAACCGTAGAAACAGAGCTGCGGTTTCAAATTTTTGGCTTAGTGTGGGCGGCGCCTTACTGTAGCATCATGAAACACTTGTGATTAAGCATATTTAATCAGTTGTATTTGTTGTAGAAATTTTGAAGGTTCTCGATTAGGCCAAAATTTTATTGTCACATACAAATATTGTTTAGTGCTTTTTTCGACCGCTAGCACCCAATAGGCCGTGTCCGAGTTGCCTTTGACAACCTTTCAATACGTCCGTCGGACCTTTTCATATCAATAGTTTCGTTCGGAGACTCGTTTTCACATAGAAGCAAGAGCCGGGCAACTTGGAGATGGCCTTTTTGAACGATCCGGTCGAAATAAATTATAGAATTCAATGGTGTATTTTTGTTTTGAATTAGGCTTTAACTAGTTGTGACGGTAACTAAGATATCAAACTCGAAAGACCGTGTTTGATCACATTTCCAAACACCGAGAAGAGAGTTGAAAATACGACGCGCAACGGAGTATTTCTGACAAACTTCTAGGTGTTCGGAAATGTGGTCAAACACTGTCTTGAGTGGTTGATATATCTTCTCAATCGAGACTAAAACTAAGGAGAAAACGGAGAATTAAAATCGTAAAAATCTATGCTAATTAAGATCAGATATCCAAACACCGTCACGGTCATGAGTTCCTTTGTTTAAACTTAATGAATTGTTAATGAGTTTGAGAAATATAAATAGTAGCCTCTATTTAGCGCGAACATATCTACAAACGCTTATCTGGGAGATTAACTATTCCGAGGAACGAATACTTTGGGCTTTAAGGAACAGATCATTTCTAAGGACAAAGATACGTTGATATTTAGAAGCCATAGAGAAGCTATTGTATTAATTATCCTTCAAACAATTTCCCCGCGTCTTGGGCGAAGGGAAGCAATGAAACAATTAACGGATTTTCTTCCTCTTAAAGGGGCCAAGTCACGGTTTGCCCATCTTGAAAAGTTAAGCCTTAAGTTCTTCTCCATCCTCAACTATCCTTGTTACTTTCTGGTTTATTGTTATCTCTTAAATGTTTTTCTGTCTTAGTAAACTACTATTTTCAGGTTTCCTTCTAACTAAACGTAATTTTGCACGTGGCAAAAATAACTCAAAATACCGTGACTGAGCTCCTCTAACCTTCTTCTTTCTTTTTCTTCTCATCGTTATTTCATCACACGGGATCACATTCATTATACTGTCAGTGAGCTATGAACTGCTACTAATATTGGTTAAAACTAGGAGTAAACTTGTTTTGTATGTCTTGCCCAAGGAAAGGTCAAATTTCTATCAATTAAGCTCTTTCTTTCCTTATCTTTTGTCCTTCAATTAAGGTTTTTCACTGATCTCACACTGTAAACCTAGATATAATTTTAAGAGCCTTGGAAGACAAGGGAAATCCTACTTAGGAAAACAAGATGGCGGCTGTACATTTTACCACAATACCGTGCGAGTCTTACAGAACCCAAAAAGTACAAGGAAAGCCTTATTTTTGCAATATTTGTCCCTGAGCTAACGACATTGTGTAAGTTAGGTTTGAAGGTTTTAAATCTTTTCTGTACATCTTTTATGAGCGTTGTTGAGGTTTTCGTGCGCTAAGAATTATGGGTAAATGTACCAGTCGCCATCTGTTTTCCAACGGGGGATTGATCAGGGAAACTGATCTCAAAAACTATGCAGTTGTCTATCATAAAATGTTTTCTGTGCCGAAATCCCACGTGTTAAGCAACCGGTTTCCAGTGATGTCTCATTCTACTCGGCGTGACAGTCTTTACAATACTGCGGAATAGTCGTTTTTGCCAGAGGTTTCCTTCAGCTACAAATGCGAAGCACTAAGCCACCACGCCTCCGGTGTAATCGCTAGTTACCAAGTCTCCTACCAGACCCCTAGCCAAGCTAAGTATGGTGGTTTGAAAAGGGATGTCAATCCGTCTGCCATGGTAAGCTTCATTAATCACAGCCCTGTTATTTTTTTTGTCTTCTCAGGATGCTGTGGTGGATCACATATTTGAATTACTTCTGGAGTTCTTCTCCGTGCATGCGCACTCAATAGCCTTCCCTGAAATCGCTCTCCCTGCTGTAGTGAGGGTGAGTACATACTCGGAATACATACTGAATTACTTTTACTGTTATATCTTTATCTTTCAATCTGATTTTTTTATTTGGGTATTTTCATTGTCGTGAATAGCCCTTTCTTCTAACCGCTTATGGTGCGAACTCAATCCGTTCCTAAAATTTGTCTCCTTCGATTTATAATGATACTCATTTCTGTATGCTGAACTTGAACTTAAGGAGCATCCAGGTTTAGTTCAGTCCAAGGTGTCTGGCTGTTTCAAAATATGCAGCTGTTTTAATGGTTTGGCGTAATCACTTTGAACCGTGTACTACAAACTGGATTTAAAACAGGAAACCCAGACTCGCGATATGACTTCTTGACTGTCCCTAGACCCAAGTCAAATTTCAACCAGGTTTTTTCTTTTTTTATTCTTAACGGTGGATAAAGACGTTTTCGCCCCGGTAAAGTTTGACTTCTTTCAGTTCTTTATGAGTTAACGATTGACTTTTGCTTGCAGTTAAGGAAATTCATCAAGACAACCAGCGTTCCAAAATATCGAAAGCAGCTCAAGCAACTTGTTGACAAGGTAAAACCTTCAAGGAACGGCTGGGAATTAAAACTTATTTGTTTCTGTTGACTTAGTGATCACAGAGATCTCTAATTATTTCTTGTTCGTATCTTTTGTCTTTAACAGATCGAAGAAACATCGACTGAGGTGACAAACCGTCGCTCTAAAGTGTCCTTCAGTCCTAAAGACATTGATGAAGTGGTGAGAGATCGATTGTTTTTTCTCAATTTTGTTGAAACGTTAATCCCGGACATCAACACACAAATTCAGTGCAATTCAGTTTAAACTTGCTGAAGGTTTGTAGGTGCTGCGATCGAACGAGAAAGAAAGGAATCCAGCGTTGAATTTTAAAAAGCAAAAGGTAATCCAAGAATTGGGCAATTAAATCATTGGTCCACATAGCCTTCTCTCCCTCGTGCCCAGACCCCGCAAGCTGAGAGCGACAGCGGCTTTCGGGACACGAATTTTTCTAACAGTTGGTCAAAATTGGTGATGAAAGCGAAAAACAAAAACCTGTCTTTACAGAGATAGACAGGAGGGAGTTTTACTGTGATGACAATACAATAGTTTATTTATTGACTGTTTTACACTTTTTCTTTATAGGAGAGGTGGACAGCTCAATACAGACAGCAACCAAATGCTATTGTGAAGTTCTACAAGACTTGGAAAGCCATGAAACCATCCGTAACACAGGTGAGTAAATAGCGTTTCCGCCAGGAGAACATGACGTATTGGTAGGTTAATTACACATGAAGGTATTCCCATATGTCAAAATTGGCAAGGGACCGCAAATGAAAATGCTGCTGGTATACGTATCTACTGAAACGCTGAATTAACTCTGCTTTAATGAGCTGTATTTCCATGTATAGAGGGTTTTCATGTGACCTCACGGCAGCGATATTGCCGGTGTCCCGAAAGAATGAAACGGCGACCATGTTGGTGTAGCAAACAAATCCTGTGGGAGTTGAACTCTTTTCTTATTTAAACACTTTCTTTTTTTTTCAATAAATTTGCATAGCTGCTGACCACGTGACTGAAAACGATTTATTCACACTTACTACTTTATAGATATAGAAAATTCAATTATTTGTGGTTTGTACTGATAAAGAATTGTCCAAAGTAACTGTCAGGGTTCTTTTTGATACTTGTCAGTAAGAGTACCAAAACTCTATTCTAAAAATAGCACAGCATGAGTACAAAGAAGTTGGATACTCCTGCACATGGCCTGTTAGTGTTTCTGTGTACAGGAAGAAAAAACTGCTTTTGCAGGTTTGAGGTTAAAATACTTTTCAAATTATAGATATTTAAAATTCTGTCGATTTATTTTCTTAGAATGAAGAGTTAGCAGAGGGTGAAAACGACATGAACGAGGAAACTTCCGACGATGAACAAATAGAAACTCCAAAGAGAAAGCGTGGTAGCTCTGACAATAAGAAAGAACAAGAGAAGCAAACGACGAAGAAAATGAAAAAGAATTTAAAGAAACCCGCGGGTGAGAAGAATACACAGACAACGAATGAATCTATGGATGCAGACAAGGAAGACATTGTGGAAGACTTTCAGTTTTCTTCTGAAGAAGATTAGCGATGATGTCATGTACAAAAAAAACTTTGAGAAATAATCCGTCGTAATTTGTCAAATCCAACTCGTGATGGCTGAATGCCGTTAGGTAGAAGTAAATACAGATACTGAGGGAATTGAGAACTTTGTTGTCGGGTCGCTCTGCTAAGTACAATTCCTATTATGCAGCGCTAGAGTACACACACATCCATAAACGAGTGGCGATTTTTTTTACAACTCACAGCTCTCACATTGACGAATTCCACTAGTATTACGCCCCCTCCACGCTACGCCAAAGAAATTCACGGCTTTATTTCTACGGTTAGGCCTACCGTCCACACTAATCCGTCGAGAAAATGCAGCTTTTCGAAAACACTCTTGAGGAATTTGGAAACGCTGGCTTTGCGTGTTAGTGTGGACGCAAAACATTTTAGAAAACGGAGTTTTTCGAAAATGTTGATGTCACGATAATCATGAGATTTCCATGTCTAAGTTTTCCTCAAACACAAAGCAAAATGACCGGTGATTGTTGCGTTTTCAAATTTCTCCGGCGTACCGTGGACAGGGCCTTGATTTCAAGATGCGTTTTTTCCCAAGGCAGTGACAGATGATCTTCCTATCCAATTTTAATAACGAGAATTGAAAAAAAAACTGATTAGCATGACTTATTTTTCAGATTGCCCTAGTTTTTTGTCCTCTTGTTCTCTGCAGAGTGAGATAAGGGCAATGGTCAGTCATGGTTGCCCTCAGATACACTAAGTTTCTTTTATTTGCAAAATCCTCACGTAACTAGTAACCATACAAAAGATAATTTAAATTTCGTTGTGTTTTGACAGATACATATTATTTCTGTTGAAAAATGTTACTTATCTCTGAAAACTTTTCCACAGTGAGTGTAAAATTCGGACAGGCCACTCGGTGAACAAAACCATAAAATACACATTTAAAAGTACGCTTGCAAAAAGCAAGAAAGTTTTGACGCTGAGAATTCCTGTTAATCCTGTTTTACAGGACTGAGCCGGGATACGCGTCTTCGCCTTTCTTGGTTTTGTTCCTTTATCGTTGCGTATGGGTGATTTCTAAAAAAAAAAAACAAGCAAAAATACCCAATTAAAAACAAAACCAGAGTAACTACCAAATATAACGGTCAAGGATAGAGTAGAAAAACTTTGATCAAACTCTAAACAATTGCAAGAAAACGTCTGTCTGAGCCAAGTTGCTGTAGGTACGGCGCTTATCTCCAGTTTCTGTAGCAATAGGCAGCTACAAGAATTTTCAGTCCACTTGGATAGGACAGTCATCTAGCACAGCTTACATCCTGTCATTTTTGTCAATACCATCTGTATTCCTGAGTGGAGAAGGTCAGTCTGGGAGTACAGAGTCCAGTCTAAGGCCCCCAGATTCCCAGGAGAGGGAAAGCGCCGACAAAAGGAGGGGACACTAGGAGAGAGGTCCCTTTCTATTTTTCATCTCATTTTTCGCCTTCCCTACCCCTTCACCATTTACGCCTGCAACACAGGACATTTGAGGAGCTACGTCACGTCACGCGTCCTGGATAGTTAAGCCTAAATTTTAAAAGTCCGTTGTTTGTAATCCGTGTTAATCTTCTCTATCCTTAATCATCCTTGTCCCCTTAGTTATGGTTTATTATTATCTCTTTGGTGTTTTATTATCTGAGTAAACTACAGTCGAACCTCTATTTAACAGCCAGTCTTGGGGGCGAGACAACTGGCTGCTTAATAGAGGTGGCCGTTTAATACAGGTTCACCCGAAAACAACGTTGGGCGTGGTTCAGCTTTCAGTTTATCAAATGTAAATACAAACAAATGCAAGTGGGGAAAAAATAGAACAATGATGGTTATAATACGGTGCATGACGTTAACAAAAACCAAAGAAACAATTACGTGTACAGACGCGACGTGTCTGTCAACCCAACACTGGCTCGTGTGCTGTACAAACAAACAAAAACGCTTCGAGACTTTGTTTTGTGATTGTTTTAATTAAACACTGCTGAAAATGTGTTTTTACAGTATTCCATATTGTTATTCTTTCACCTTCATCTGGCTGAAAACAACCAACTTCAAATCTTCCTGGCCGTTTAACAGAGGTATAAAACAAAAAAAATCACCCTTGGGACGGCAAGAAGCTACCCGCGGGGTGGCCGTTGACAATTTTTCCGGGACGTTGGCCGCTGGCCGCCAAATATAGGTTAGCTGCTTAATAGGAGGCCGCTTAATAGAGGTTCGACTGTATTATTTTCAGGTTTCCTTCAGTTTAAGGGTGCTTTTAGGCGTGGCTAAAATAACTCAAAATATCGTGAGTGAGCTTTATTAAGACCCCGGCCAGGGCTTAAACCCGGTGGGGTGGAGACGGTTTTCGTTGCCTGGGAGACTGTCCAGTGTAATATTGAGTTACTTTACTATATGACATCTCACCTGCATCGAGTTCTCCTCGTCAATGGCGTCTGACGATGAAGCGTCGTCATCCGAGATTCCATAAGAGTTACTTGAAGGGCCACGACTGACTGAAATATATACAAGGCCGTCGATTAATTATTAATGAAAAAAGCGAGGAGTGCAAAAGCCATCGCCTTAACTTCTAGCCTTCCTGGAAAATCACGCGCGCGAAGAAAAAGGTTTATGGTGTCTCAGTCGACGGCGAAACAGGTTTTACCCTCAACTGTATAACCAAAGGAAAGGTTTTGATCCGTTCCATTTGGTTCCCTGATGTACCAGAAGTTTTCATCCTTTCACTCCCCAGATCGTATTGTTCACCTTCAGAATTGACAAACACTCCCATGCCGAATTACAGTCATTATAAAATGAGAGTATCACTTATTGTAATCCATCAAGTATTTTCGCTCGCACGCGATTAGTCTAAACGCGTCATGTGACTGAATATGCCTCATCTAAAACCGAGGAATATCCGAGTGATAATCCCCCAATTCTCGTGATGCGAAAAACAATTGATGGATAATAAACAAAATAGCCTCCATTTAACGTTAAAAATATGCTCGAATATTTATCCTTGGACATTTTATGTTCGTCGAAGCTCACAGTTAACTTCAAGGTTCGCTCTCGGAAAACTGTTCGCTTCTCGGAACAGATAATGTCCGCGGACAAATGTCCGAGCATATTTTAGCGCCAAATGGAGGCTATTGCTCATGTGACTTTCATTTGAATAGCCACGTTGTTTCATGGACAGTCTTAGATGATAGAACCAGAAACATCCATTCGAGAGTCAACATTTTTGTTACGCATTTACCATTTGTCGCTTCTCGCGTATGACTCGCGGGAAATCGTCCTTGTTGTAGGCCAGAGAAATGAAGCGTGGCGGGTACAATAAGAGGTCTTTGTCTCATGGAGACTAAAGGCGTCTCCTTGGAATTACTTTCCACACTTTGATTCCAGAAGGAACCTGTGGAAAAAATGTATAGTGAATAATGACAAGTTGAACAATATAAGAGAATTTTAAGACACTGAACAGAATTTTAGAGAATCTCGAGAAGTTAGACGTGTAAAATTTGGTAGAATTTGAGAGCAGTATTAGCTTCCAGGTTATACTTGAAAGCTAACTGGAAGCCCACTAGGACAATTGTCACAGTTTTACTCACTACAGGCAAAAACGTTGCGAAAGTGTTCATTTTTGGTCACCACGAACCAACNTTAGTAGTGTCCAATATTTCTGAATCACTGGCGTCGCGTTTTTCAGTAGTGGATGGCTGACGTGGTGATAACTGCGATCTGTGACTGTTGACAAAAATGAAGTTTTGATAGAGCAGCACATGTATTATTTCTTAACTTGATAGTTGCCCTTAAGCAACTGTAAACGTGTACTTTTCCCCTGGCTGATGATTCAAACTAACACGACTACGTCTGAAACCTCCCATTAGCCTGCGAGCAGGCTCACCGTTGAGTCAAGCGCACGAGCAGAGAGCAAAGCGACCCGGCAGGAAGGAGTCTGGTGAAGAGGCTTCGCCGCTCGCTACGCCGCGCGCGCTTGTGCTCCACCGTGAGCCTACTCGCAGGTTAACCTCCCATAAGGACACTTTCCTCTTGTACCAAGGGTAGACTTACGCCTATGGGTACCACTGTTACTGTTTTTTTATTTTTATTTTTTATTTTTGAAACATGAAATGTACACAACTAATAAACAGCTGTGACTAGAAAGCGTGAAAAATATTCAGGCCTTATTTTTACGAACTTGTGTATATTAATGAGATGATCTTTCATGCCTTAACATCTTTCTTCACTGTTCAAAGATATGATCTTTGAAATATTCACTTGTGTTAATCACTTCCTGTTACAAATTTCTAGAACTTTCACTTCAAGATTGATAATCAGAATAAATTATGCATAACATTATGCATGACTAAGGGTCGTCCACACTGCGGCGGAGAAATTTGAAAATGCAACAATCACCGGTCATTTTAGATTTGTGTTTGATGAAAACTCGATCAGGGAAATCTCATGATTATCGCGATGTCATTGTTTGCGTTTTCCAAATGTTTTTCATCCACACTAAAACGCAAAGCAGGCGTTTTCAAATTCCTCCAGTTTGAAGAGCGTTTTCTGAAAATCTCCGTTTTCGTGACGGATTAGTGTGGACGATAGGCCAAACTGTAGAAATAAAGTTGCGTTTTCAAATTTCTCTGGCGTACTGTGGATGGGGCCTTAGTGTATTTCCCGGTCACCTTTTCTTCTTTTTCGCACCCAGCACTCTTGAGTACAAGAGAAGAGAGAACAGGAAGTAGCATGTGCTTAAAAGCCAACAAAATACAGCTCCTGTAACGCGCCATCCACAATCTGCCTTCAACCAAAATATTTCCCTGAAAGGTCAAGACCAAAACTCTGTTATATGGTGGTTACAATATGTAATCTATGAATACATCTACATCTACATTGGGGGGGGGGGGGAGGGGGGGGAGGGGGGAGTCTTGCAAAGGGTGATGCCCGAATTTTTTGTGATGCCCATCACTACAAGACATTGAAAGTACAAAGAGGGAAGGGAGATAAGTAACTTTAAAACTAATTAGCACTTCAAAACCCTGTTCGTGACATTCCAATTTTCTCTTGACCATCTCATCTTGCTACTTTTAGGGTGTGGTCTTTCAGTAACAGTTATTTGTAACAGTAATGGTAACGGTGACGGTGACAGTAACAGTAACATTAACAGTAACTTTTATGTCATAGATTTTACAGTGTTGGCTGCTCAGAGACAAAATTCTCAGAACCAAGAGATAACAAATTTTAAGCTTAAGAACTGAAAGGATTAAGTAATGAAATGAAACAAAGGTTAGCAGTAACACACCAGCATCTCAAAGAAGAAAGCAAGGTCCAAGAGAACAAAATCAAAATACCAAATCTGAAAACATAAGAAGATATCTCACCTCAACATAAAAAAGAATAAGGATCAAATTATGTTTAAAAAAAGTACCACAGACACCAACATAAAAACAATATTTTAATTACAATAACTTTTAAAGCCTATAACGTGAATAGTATTTATATTAGCATTCAAGACTAGAGCAGTTTGTTTGTTTTTTAATATTATTGGCAATGTACCTGTTTTTCCTTTTTAAAAATATCAGGATATTTATCAGCAAGCAGACCAAAGACAGGCCTAGGTAATGTCTCTTTGCTAAACCTTTAAATAATACAATAAAAAACAGAGTCAACTAATACACACTGTACATTGTTATGTGATACACAGGTAATTCACCAAATTGAACTTTTTGCTGGTAACACTAAACTTAAAAACGTTTAATAAATGCAAAACTAATTAAAGTCTAGTAAACACTTCATCATGAAATAATTATGCTAAATACTCATTATTATGGCTTAAAGAAATTTAACATTTGAAACCTCCATCTTTGGTCACTAGACAATTCCACATTTTTCTGAATACAGTACCAATCAGAGGAAACCTAACAAATAACACGTTTGTGAACACGAACAGAATGGATAAAGAACACGTTCTGTCAAACATTCCCTGTTAGGTTTCTTCTGATCGGTACTGTAAATGACAGTAACCTTTACTGATGTGAGCTTAGTTGAAACAAGAAAGTTACAAAACTTTCCTTGCTTGATCTGTTACCTAAAATAGTCATATGCTGGCAGACATAGCTTTTTCAATACATTACAAGGTAACATACGATTTGATAACTTCTGTGAGTTGAAATTGAACAGTCAGTCTCAGTGTGTATATTATGTTATGTAATACTATGTACATGTAGTTGTATTATATAGACTTAGTTATCAAAACATCACTTACAGCATAAACAACTAATAAAATCCAAGCCTCTCTGCCAAGACAAACTCATTGTAATTCTAAATGAGTGGGTAACGTGGAGCACCAAATGTTTCACTGCACTGGTAAAATCTGCCCAGGTGGTAATATTGGACCAATACATGTGACCAATCACGTGAGACAGGTTCCACAAATTAAGAGCTTTATCTGGAGAAGTAAATGATGATTCACTGCAGATTACTACATTTGTAGCAATTACTGTAAGTTATACTTATTAAAAATATTCCATATGTGGTTCCATATCTCGTTCCAAAACTCATTCAAAGCCTCCTTCCACATATATGCAGAACTCCTGAGTCCCCCCCCCCCACTCCTCAACCACCCTCCAAACCCTAGGGAAGGGATACCCTTCATAGTCAACTATGAAAGGAGGCTCCACCAAAAAGAAGTACCTTTTATGAGCCAAATGTACATAAAAGGGTAGAGATTTCACCACTTCGATTATAGAAAAGCATAGGGAAAACCGTCTGAGTTTTACATTACGTTCACTCTAAATATATGGAAAGGCACTGTAATGTCTCTATTCAAACAAGTAAGGGTTTGGACTTTGGAGTGACGCCTCCCCATTATAAAACTTTGTTGAGTTGCCCCCACAGGTTCCTCCCCCCTAGAATGCCAATCCAATCCTATTCCTGCTCCTCTAGAATTCCAATCCCAGGCCTATAGGGGTGTTTGATGAATCTCCTTTACATGCCAGGATTTTAAAGATTTTTAATCAGAAGTCTTCTTACTCCTTGTAGATTCTGGTGATTTATATTGTGCAATCATAACAATAACACAAATTATGTTTCATTAGCAAGTACAAAGTAGCATTCCAAAATAGCTACATTTATATCAACATAAATTACAGTGAACATGGAATAAAAACTTATACCAAACAAACGCTACAGAATCAATTCAATTTTCCTACAGGAAGGTTGCTGTCATAATTTTTGTTCCTTTACTAAATAACAAGATGATGTGAGACTATGTGAGGCTTACCGCAGGAATTCTGGTCATTGGAGAGTGAATCAGAACAAAGCAGCAAGGAGGTAAGCAACACACAAGTAAGCCGAACCAACACAAGAAAAATGGACTCTGCTGATGATGACCTTTTAAGGAGCTATAAAAAAACAACATCAAAATCAGTTCACAAACAGAATCAATGAGTCAATGACTTTAAGCCTCAACAAATTTCACACCAGCTGATTAATAATGAAAATCTCAATGTAGGTTTCTAGTCATCTCCTGTGGTTGAAATTGGGAGATTTTGAGCATAATTTTATACTCAAGCTAACTAGTACAGGCAATAATTGTTGACTCTTTATTTTTGTGACATGTGCACTCAACTTATTACTTAACTTTGGAATTGTATTTTACACAAATTGAATTAAAATACAAATCACTATTAGCCCAAAGAGAAATCCTACTGGCTTTCACATTTATACTAAATAAACTCTGAAGCTTTTATTAGTGATCACTTGACTATCAATCCAGCATTTAGGTGAAAACAATATATTAAGCCCAGAAAAGACTGGATATTTTTAGGGTTGTCACAACAGTTTTTAAATTGTAGACAGTTTCTCAGTTGGAGTGAGTGGCTTATTTTACAATCTTTTTCTAAAGAATCATATGAACAGCTCAGCAGAGTAGCTAGCCAAGATCATGAAGTAGATAGTGATTTTTCACCAGCAACTGGCTAGTTGTAACAACCCTGCATTTTAATCAAAACTCTATGTACACTGTACATGCTGTTGAAGATGTAAGCTTACCGGGAAATAAATTGTCATCTACATTTATCCTTTAATAATAATATATCAAGAGACTGACAAAATAACAAGTGAAGAACAACAATTTCACATTACCTACAAGTCATGTAATGATACGCGAAATTATTGTTAAACAATAAAAAGATCAGTACATTACCTTTGTTGGTGTTGATTTTGATTGCTGAAGATGACTACCCAGTAGGAATGTTTTTAGATCCATTGCTTGTACATTTAAGTGATGCTTAACAATTTTGTGACATGAGCGGCACAGCCTATATCTTTCATCAAGTAGCTGTTTAAGGGCTTCAAGTTCAGAATGAAAATCAGACTGCAAATGAATGTTCATGTAATGAATAATTAACAACAATATACATTGTCATTTAGCATTTTCTTTATCCACTTAGTTATGTTGTGACTACTAAAACCAGGCCACCGAGAAGAAAACTAAGCAATTAAAACATCAACTAAGAACAATGGACTGGCAGCTTTCTTGTGTCGACATGTACAAATGTAATAAGGGCCTGTTTGACAGAATACCAAGTACTATTCACTGCTCTGCATAAAATACACTCTTAGAGATTCAGTTCTTTTGGCAAATTATAAGGATTACAAATCTCACTCAAACAATTTAGCTTGAAAACTCATTTTGTCACATCTCAGCTGAAACCATTGAAAAGCAAACTTAATTTATAATGATCGGAACTAACCAATCAACAGATGGCAAAGATTTCTGGGAGATGTGCAACACTTAGCACTTTGTTGGGTTTTCAATTTTGTTAAGAATTATTTTTTGTGTCCTTTAATTGTCATTGGTTTATTTGCAAAGAAAGATTGTAATCCTTTGTTCTCAAGTAGCATTCTAATAATTGGTAAACTCTTTTTCCAAGTAGTAGTCAACCTGTAATCTTGCTATGTTTCATTAAGCTGTATTGTGTATATAATCTTGATAAGATATGCTGAAAGTATGTAAATCATTGTATATGAGGACAGCTAACCTCTTTTGTTGGTTCAAAGGAATGTAATTCTTGGATCTTTGTAGCTTGATTTTTGTTACACTCTTCACACAGTTGAGGTTGACTAATAAGTGAAGGCTGTCCAGTGTACCGCCCTATAAAATGATATAATCATAATTTAAATACACAAATACACGTAATTAAGGACCTCCTTTCAGCATGAACACAATGCATTAATTATTAAAGAAAACTGACCTGGAGCAGCATAACGATAGCTGGTCTTGGCTTCTCCTAAACAGTCCACCATATTACCTTTTTGTAGAACAGCTCCTGTGCTATGAAATTTTACCGTCCTGGAAAAATAGAAGAAGTTTTACACGTACCACCTGCTGATACCTACTTATATACGACTCAATATTAAAAATGCGCGCTCGAGATTCGGATTCGAATCCAGTCTCGTTTGGAATTTGAATACTAACTAACAGTCTCTTCATTTAAGTAGCATTTAGTTTGAAACGGGGGCGAAACAGCATTTCTGTTAATGAATTCATGAGGAGAGGATCGAAGTAGGGGGAAATAAAAGCACTTTGTAAGCTGCATAAGAACTTATTAAACTTAATTAAGCTTTTAAAAATTGAAGCTTCGCACGTGGTTCATTTCATGTCAATCCAAAACTGCCAAAAGTTGTGTGGGAGCCATTGATTTAAAAAGAAAAAAAAACACTCATCTTTGTTGCTTTCAAAACATGAAATCTCACCTCAAAGCATGCGAAAACAACTGAAAAGTATGTCTCAGGAAAATAAATCGAATCGTGTCATCTATCGAGTTGTATCTCCCGCCATATTGGAAAGACCCCATGGAATACCGGGAAAATGTGACGTCAGTATCTGCCCGGGATATCCCATAGCCCCGTGCGGCCGTGCTAGTTCCCAGCAAATCATGCGCTTTCGATTTCAGAACACAAACATGGTGTCTGCCGGTTGTTTAGCTTTATGAGTGCAAAAGTTTGGACGCCGAATTTGCGAAAAGTTTTTCTTTTTTGCACGAGTTTATGTTCAGGCATCCAAAAGAAGTTCTCAATGTGGGTGTTCGTGACAATGGATTGCTTAAAGGGAATATATAACGGTATAGGAATTCGATTTTTTCTGATGGCCCTCATCAAGGTTTGGACCCTCATAATGTATGTTCTCCGAAGGAACTTGAAAAAGGTAAGCTTGTGTTCTTCAGGTGTGCGTGATCTACCTGAGGGGTGAAAGAGATGGAAACCAGTACGGATAACGTTTAATGTTTGGTGTTTGTGTGGACGTATTGCTTGTGTAAGCAAATTATCGTACCACGCTAACAATCAAAAACTTGCAGCGTTATTTAGACTAAGCTAAGATTAAACTCATAGGTTTCAAATGGAATATTAAATTAATCCGAGTCGCTGCTAATAACCAGGCCATGATTCCAGAATATTTAATCATTTGTTTCCTATGCAGTTTCGCGTGGTTTTATTGTCACATGTAATAAATTAAATGCGATAGTCTATCACTCCAAAATTTACAATGAACGTGTCAAAATATTCAGTGAAGCATACAAACATCTATTGGATATTGTTTATCCAATATCACGTTATTCCTCTTGATGGTCAAAGAATCCAGTTCATTATATTTTGATTTTTGCGGTTACTTTCTGTTGCGTTTTCTGTTTCTTGGATTTGCACGAAGCTTAGTCTCTTTTGGGATGAGGTTATTTGTTCCAAACAATCTCTATTTGCCCTAAATTTGCAGAAGTTTGAACGAGTCAAGACTTCACTTGTTCTAGAATCGATACGTATTAAGAGACTGGCTCTTGCAGTATGCAACATTATTATTGAATATACAGGTCACTTTTCACAACCATGGAGAGCTTTGTAATGTTTTACATGTAGGACAGTTTCTGTCCTTAAACTCACCACAAGATTAAATTTACACTGACAGGTCACCTGTCAAAGAGAATTGTGCAGTTCACGCTTAGTAATTGCTCAACAGCCATATAATAGTATATGACTTTATTATCTCCTTTTCTAATTGACATTTTGCTAGGAAATTTCTTGGACAGATTTGAAGAATGTTCTATGATTTTTTTAAAGTTCCTTTGCTGAGTGTGAGGAGAGGGAGGGGGTAAACAAAGACTAACTCACGGGCATGGAGTGGGGATTTGGTATTTAGGGTTAGTTTTCAGATTAGGGTTAAGGTTAGCAAACAAAGATTGTAAGGATCGCCCTTACTCATCGCCTGTGATGTCACACTTTCCAAGGGGGTGGAGGATCAGTGTAATCATCCTCATGATCTGATTACAGAGAACCTCTGCATGTCACCATTAGATCCATTGAATAGCTGCTTTGTCGTGTGGTTGCAGTGTGTAGTATAATATCTCTCATTTCCTTTAAAGATGATCTCTAGTCCGTACTATGCGGTCTCGGCATCCTAATGTTTATAAACATTGTAATTTCTCACTCGCTGGATTGCAAATTGATGTTATTCGTTACAAAATAATCACATAGTACCATTATGATATCTTTGAGGCCTTTCAAATTTTTCCAACAACTTCATTGATTTTTACAGCTGTGAAGTTGTTTCATCAAGTGATATGAGAAAGAGCGAAGCATAAAGCTTTGATCATTTCACATCCATAATGGGGTTGTTTTCAAACTTTGAATTTACTTCATGTAAGTAGCTTCAAAATGTTCACATTTTGTGATGTCTTACATGACACAAAACAAAAAACGAAAACAAACTCTTGAGAGTGCCCAGTATGGACTGGAAATCATCTTAAACCTACATGTATTTTCAAGGGTTACAACTTGGAAGAGGTGACAAGTAACTCTTAAGAGTCAAGTCAAGGTTATTTAGTGAGAAAGACAGATCATAGTGTTCAAAATTATGTAGCATTTAAAGCTGACCAGTAGTTTAATTAGTCATAATTATCATTATTAATTAATAATCATGACTGAATGTGCAGGACAGGAAAAAAGACAGGTCTGATTGTCCAGGGCAAGTAAATTTTGCTCTTGGTCAAGTGAAAATGGAAATTTGGTGGTCCGCTGGGCAAGTGACATTAGCCTCAGTAGTCTTGCTAGTGATAATTTCCAGTCAAAAACAATTACAAAACTTAAGACTGCAAGATGAGCAAAGCAATGGGTAGAGAGCATGGATTTATTTAAAATCCAAGCACACTTGATTATAGACAGACTACTTAGTCAATGACATACATGTAGTCGATAAGGAATGAACATATGCTGTTTATGCATGCCTATAAGCGGGTAATATTTTAGTGGGGGTTGAAAACTGAAATGTACTGGCCCACTGGGCAACTGGATTTCAAAATTGTTTTTTTGCCCTAATGTGCTGGACAACTCAGTGGTGAAAACATCCAGCAAGCACCTTTATTATTATATTGTACAGCTTTTGGTGCAAACAACTTGAGAATTATTGACAAAATTGTTTTCCTGTGCCTTTTACCTTTAGGTTATACAACACAAGACTGTTAAATATCAATTGCTTCCTCTTTCAGCTATATCTATTCAAAGATTGAGTAAGTACACAATGTACTTTAACAATGTTTGTCAAGTTTGTGATCATAAAGGAACAATGACGTCCCTGATTGATCAATTTGTTACACAGTATAACATGTATGCATGTAACCTCTTTGTGGTTACAGTTGTTACATGTTGCATATAATTTGTTAGCATTGTGTGAAATAAGAGAGCAAACGAGTGGTGTGAAGGAATTGTGCATGATTTGCATACCGAGTGCCAGTCCTAAATCGTGCATCAAGAATGGAAACAATCCCTATTCAAAACTCATAGAAAGGATGATATTTTTTTGTAGGATTGGATATGACCCAACCTCCTCAATAATATTATGATGGCTTTTTATGTATATAATGTACATGTACACTGCATATATGTGGGATATTTGTAACTGTTCACAAAAAATTTAAACATTTAATCTACTGAAAAAGATGCACATTCAAGGCTGTGGTCTAAGAAATATATTTTGAAGAGCCCAAAGGTTCCTAACCATAAAATCCTGGGTGCCCAGCACATCAGTTTATACGAAAAAAGTAAGCTTTTCTAGTCACCCAAAGTCAAAAGTTAGTTGCCTTTGGCACTCAGGTGCTTCTAGAGCACAGCCCTGACATTGTACAGTTTATGCTTTGGTCTTTGTTGTATTCTTGGTTTTTGAATTTCTATGTACATGTAACAAAGCAAACACTTTGTTTTACTCTTCCCTTGCTTTGATCCATTTTATAATCAATATGTAAACTGATATTGGTGCGTTATTGGTAATTCTTTTTCCAGAACTAGTAAAACGAAAGACATTAGTGCTTGACCTTGATGAAACTCTGATACACTCACATCATGATGGGTATGAAACATAGAGAAATTATTTTAAATTCTTTTTTTTGCTTGTACCTCTTTGCCTAGTTCATGATAATGTTTAATTTGCTCTACTTTTTTAAAATAATTTGTAGTGTTGTAAGACAAACTGTAAGACCAGGAACACCTCCAGACTTTGTACTTCGGGTGAGTGGTGTGTTTTCTAAAGTGCTTGTTTTGAACAGTTAAAAACTGCTACAATTTTAAAAGTTTAATAGCAATTTGCCTTTAAGTCAAGACCAGTCACTTTTGCAAAAACTATTTCATTACAACGTGAAGGTAAAAATTTCTGCAGAAAGCAGGTTCATGAGGCATACAAATCAAATATTTTAATGAATAGTAGATACTGACAATTTTTTTTTTACGATAACTGGAGAAATTCTCACGTGCTCATTGGCAGACACATGAATTTATAATTTATGCGATATGTCAGCAAGCGAGTGCGGACAATTTGACAATTTGTTATCGTAAAAAACAAATTGACGTCAGTTTTTAATGCTTCTGTCCTGTTATTGACAATGAATTTCATCATAACATTGTCAAAGTACTCTGCTGATCCACTCAGCTATCGCCTCGTGGATTCACAGCTACTTTGACAATGTTATGACAAAATTCATGATCAATAGCAGGATGGACACATGAAAAACTGACGTCAATTTGTTAAATAGATCACTTCTTTTTTAATTCTTCTATTTCTAGCAAATTCATGACTGTGTTGTTTTAATGACACTTATTGGGTTGACAGGTTACTATAGACCACCATCCTATCAGATTTTTTGTCCACAAGAGACCACATGTGGACTTTTTTCTTGAGTGTGTAAGTATCTGCTTGAATCCCAAAGAACTACTTATTAAGCAGGGTGCAAAGAAAGTTGTTTCTCACAGCCTAGGGCTAGTGGATTTTTCCTTTACTTTAAGTGAGGTTTTTGGGCAGATTTTTGTGGAAATTCAAATTACAGAGAGTTATAAGGGATCAAATCTTTGGGGGGGGGGGTTAGTGAGAATGACGTTGAGGCTACATGTAGTTAACAATAATATTATAATTCTATGAGCGTATGTTAGATATCAGATGATAGATAGCCAACAAGGCATGTAATGTGGATTGGCTGTTTCATCTCACATCCAATAAGCCTGAGTTGGATAATTTTTTATTGAAAATGCCCCTCACACCCTCCCCATAAGATAACAATAAAAATGCTCTTAAAAAATTATGCATACTTTTACCATATTTGGAGAGCATGGTATAGTTCCTCATATACCATGATAGTTTAAGCCAATGAAAACTCTTGAAATTGATTATCCAATGATCCAGTTTTTAATAATGTGTCAGTACATGTAATAGTTGGGCAAGCCCAAAAACTAGTTTTCTTTGCACCCTGTTAACTAAAGGCACCAAGAAGAGGCCTTACATTGTGTATGTCGCAAGCTGCAAAAAGGACAGCTGATTATGTTGATGGTAACAATGAGTTCTACGGCAAAATTGGGTTAATTAAGAATCAGTAACACTAAGTAACCTACTGGCATTTTTATTTAATTTTTAATCAGTTTTTGCAAAGGGTATGCATTTGTCATTGAGAGTAATTTAACGCTGAAATAGATCTTTGGTCAAGTTGTGTGAAAAGCTGTAAAGGAGAAAGCGATAGTAGCGTTTGATTAAACGAAAAATATTGTTTTCTTTGCAGGTCAGTCAATGGTATGATCTTGTGGTATTTACAGCTAGTATGGAGGTATGTGATTAAGGATGAGGTGTGAAGTTGCTATTAATAGCCTCTACATATGAATTCAATTAAGTGACCTCGCTCCTAATGTGTGGCTTCATAGCTCAGTTGGTAGAGCATTGCACCGGTATCGCGGAGGTCACGGGTTCGAATCCCGTTGAAGCCCTGATTTTTTTTTTTCAGGCTTCCTCTTNGTAATGCTGAATCTCGTTGACATGTAAATAGAGTTATTATTATTATTATACTGAAACAAGAAGTTGTTCAATATTCTTTCCCAACAAGATGTTGAATTTATTTGTATTTGAATTTTGTTCCCAGGATGAGTGTTTTTAAAATGTTTAATTTTTGTTGACATGGCCAATCTGAGGCTCATGTAACCAAAGGAAAAAATTACCTTATTGGGCATATATTAGAATCTTAGGTGCTGTACGTTGCAATGTTAGTTTGTTTTTAATTTACTACTGTTTTTCATAAGGAGTTTGTACACTGTACATACTCACAGTATATGTACATGCACATGGAAAACTGCAGTGTAATTCTTTTGTTTGCTTCACAGATCTATGGTGCTGCTGTTGCAGATAACCTAGATAAAAACAGAGGAGTGTTAAATAGAAGATACTTCAGACAGGTGAGGACGCTGTCAGTTTTTACAGTTTACGTACTACTGCTGATACCAGAGTATGTCAGGTACATGTACAGTGGCCCACATTTTGTGATGTTTAGTGCACAGGACTCCTGATTGAGCCATGCAGGTTCAAGCACTGGCTAGGGTCACGTTACTTTCATAGTACCACTCTTAATCCACGCATTGAGGGTACCAGCAAAAGTACACTGACATCTCATTGATTGGGAGGGCTGTAATGTTACTTCATGTGACAGAAACCTGGCTTACATGTAGGTGCTCGTTCTGCAGTGAGCCACAGACTTAAATATTATACCATGAGAACCAGTTTGGTGTCCACGTACAGTATGATCAGCTTGACTAACCATGTCTTCCACTCTCTCTGCATGGCTAATTTTGCTTTTGATTACTCAGCACTGTACACTAGATGGTGGCAGTTATACCAAAGATTTATCAATGGTCAATGAAGATCTGTCATCAGTTTTTATTTTGGACAATTCTCCTGGTGCCTATCGGTATAACCCAGGTAAATCTATCAAAGAATATGATTTAAATCAGTTAAATCTATCATGTACATGTAGCTGACTGCAACCTTGCTTTGTGACCACCCACTGGCAGATAATTCACCAGCACACACCCAGATACTGTTAGTAATACAGTGTACAGCCTAACAAGGCCCCACAGGCCAGGCTGCGGGCCAGTCAATTTCTACTTAACATTTACATTGACAAAAAATAAATCTACATCTAGGTGTGGGGAATGGTCTAGCAGTTGCTAAGAAGTAAAGCTACCACATTATCTTTCTCTTCTGCTTTTAATTATTTTTAATTTTAAAGTCATCACCTTACATGTACATGGCAGTTCCATTTATGTTGAAACTATACTTGAATTTCATTACATTGCAGATAACGCCATACCTATCAAGTCGTGGTTCGCTGATCCATCAGATACTGCGTTATTGAACCTGCTGCCCATGCTGGATGCCCTTAGATTTGTCTCTGATGTACGATCTATACTCAGTCGAAATCTACACCTTCACTCGCTGTGGTAGTCCAGAACAGGGTTACTACATCGCAATGCAATGCAGTGCGTATAGTCATCGAATAGCTTTAAATACGTTCAGTTGATATAAAGAAGTCAACTGTTTTTGGGGGAATCTAGAGAACTTGTAACAACAAAGGTTATTTAATGCACAGAGTCACAGAGTTATTTTATTTGCTATTATTGTCCTCTCTACATGTCTTTTGCAGTTGTTCGTGATCCATATAAAGCACAGCCTTACTGTAGGTCTATCTCCCGAACATTTGGTTATAAGTGATATGACTTACATGTAAGTATAGCAAATTTGTGAAACTTTTGAGTATATAAATGTAGTCAACGGCAACCCTATTGCTTAATAGCAAAAGTGTTACTTCTCACAAATCTCTGTCACAGAGCTTTAAGTTGCGTCAGTTGCTGGATTGTACCTTAGCAGGACCACTTTACAGTCTGAGTGTTTCCTTTTATGTAGAGATGTATTTGTTATTACCCTTCATTTCCAAGGGTAATCGGGTTATATTATTTAGAAACATTCTGAATGAAATTTGATCTTGTATTCATAAAACAAACAGCAACACATGAGATTACTGGTCAAAAGCTATCATCAGAAGCGTAAAATAAGTAGAACTACCTTGTAAAGAACATACATTAACATGGATTATGGTTAGCTCAGCAAGCAAGCAAGGTGAGCCAAACTGTGCATTGCAATTCGCTCCCCAAGTGAGCTAGTGGGGCAACATGTATCTTGCCTGCTCAGAGTTCAACACAGTATCCCACAAGAAAATGTCTTTTTTCAGGCCTTAATTTAAATGAATAAACGCTTTATTGGCCAAGTTTGTGTAGTCAAGATGGCTGGATGTTGGCCTAGGTCTGTCGGTACGTGTGTGGTTCGTGTGTGTGGACCTCGCGTGTCTAGACATGGCAATATCTTAGAACTGATCTGAAGCTTTCATTTGTAGTTTCCTAGTTTACAAAACTCTGAGAGTATGTTTATCATAGAATATTTAATGGGATTTTACTATAATATCAACATTCAGTCTATTCAGTATTTTCATAGAGTAGATTTGTTGTTCAAACATCTAGCTGATTCTAAAGGTCCGTGCATTCATTGGTACGTTCGCTGTGAACAAACTGCCTTTGTACACTGGCATATTTAGAGTTTCCTTCCCATTTCAAATAATAAGAAGCAAGGTGCCTGTTCGTATTCATGCGCTTGCAATCAGCAACCGTGTTTCGTAAAAATTCTGTGAACTCTGTGCATTGTTAACTTCTGTACAGATTGTTGTTTTTTTACTTGCGTCATGTTTGTACATAACTTGAATAATTATTAAAAATTTTCTTATGCATTACCCAGGTGTAAGCTTAAAATATAGGAGAAAGTGAATAGATCTTAAATAAATGCTGTAGAGGAGTCCTAGAATCTGTCTTTATTTAACTGCACATGGCATGACTCTCTTCCCTCACAAATAGAATTACTTGTAAGTTACTATTCAGTGCAAACAACATGCAACATCTGGGGCCCGTTTCTCAAAAGCCCCGGAAACGTTTCGGGCCCGCAAAGCCATTTTTAGTTAACCGGTATTTAAAGACAAAGAAGTGTATACGCCTGAAACTTCTTGTACGAAGGGAACCTCTGTTCATATTAAGAATATGTGCATAAAACAGCTCTGAAGTCATAAGGTTTGAGATTTTGCTATGGCTTTTCGGGTGCGAAAACTTTTCGGGACCTTCGAGAAGCGAGCCCCAGCATCGTAAGTGACTGGTTTAATTGTAATAGCCCTTTTCATGGTTTTCTTTGCTCGTTTGCATTACAATAAAATCTAGCATTTCTGTGAGGCAATTTCAGGCTATTTTGTAGTTTAAGCCAAAAATTGTCTCGCATCCACGTTGGAATACATTGTAATGTAAATGCGAAAAAGTAACCGTGAAAAGAAAGGGCTATTAACAGATTATCAGCAGTCTGGTTATTCCTTTTGTTCATGCATTGAAATTGGACAGTGTACAAGTTAGACTAGACGCATCATTTTGCATTTGCTGTTTTTTGCACACACTCCCCCACTTCTCGCCCCACTCCCCACTGATGTACTTGAAACGGTTCCTATTTTATGCATCTTGGTCAGAAACAGACCACCCTGTGACTGTGAGCAGAGTCTCCTTCAATCTTCTGGCTAGAAAAACCGTGACGAGGATTTTTCTACGAAGATCGAAAGAGACTCTACTCGCAGGGTAAAAACAGACTAAATTGTTTCTTAAGAAATAGAAAACATGTGCCGTGTTTCTTCCAAGCGTTCTATCACGAATGCCGTTCTCTGATTGGCTATGCTACTCACTTTCTATTCTGTTATAGATACATGTAGTAAGTAGCAATAACAGATATTAAAATGCCCCTTTCTCACGATTTCATTTTGAGTCGGGCACTTCTAAATGAAGGTTCCCGTGTACTTCGCCTTCAAGTGATTTAGCGCGCCCGGTTTAAACTGTATAGATACCTCAGCCTCTGTATCAAATTAAAGCTGATAAAGAGGGCAGTATAGCTAAACCAATGTTCATTTCTCATCGGCACCCTTGGCTTGAAAACAAAAAGGCAGAAACGTTAGGAGGCTGTGAGGCCCAGGGTTTATTTAGCACCGCCTCTCAAATCGTCCACATGCAGTCGTACATAAGTTTTCACGGGATGTTTATAAAGAAAACAGCAGATGTAAATTTCATAGTTTTGCGGCATGCGAGAAAAAAGAAAGGAAAAAAATGGACTTCATGGAATTAATCTGAGAATTACAGATGGATGTAAAATACTCCTGCTTACAAAGAGAGTTGCTTTCAACGCTTGTGTTAGCTGCCACTTGAGCTGTTGAAACTTATTCTTTGCAAAAGACATGGTTACAAGCATATAAAATGGCTCTCCAAACTGCACTTATAATTACACAGTTGGAAACACTTTGGAACTTCATCCGTGTACGTTGGTTAAAGCCAAGAATGTCAACAAGTGAAATCCACCTGAAGTCACTACATGTGTCAAAACTGAACTCAGAAATGAACCTATAGCTTTGCAGTGGAATAGAGAAATACANAAAACAGACTAAATTGTTCCTTAAGAAATAGAAAACATGTGCCGTGTTTCTTCCAAGCGTTCTATCACGAATGCCGTTCTCTGATTGGCTACGCTCCTCACTTTCTATTCTGTCATTGATACATGTAGTAAGTAGCAATAACAGATATTAAAATGCCCCTTTCTCACGATTTCATTTTGAGTCGCGCACTTCTAAATGAAGGTTCCCGTGTACTTCGCCTTCAAGTGATTTAGCGCGCCCGGTTTCTGTATAGATACCTCAGCCTCTGTATCAAATTAAGCTGATAAAGAGGGCAGTATAACTAAACCAATGTTCGTTTCTCATCGGCACCCTTGGCTTGAAAACAAAAAGGCAGAAATGTTAGGAGGCTGTGAGGCCCAGGGCTTATTTAGCAGCGCCTCTCAAATCGTCCACAGTCTTACATAAGTTTTCACGGGATGTTTATAAAGAAAACAGCAGATGCAAATTTCATAGTCTTGCGGCATGCGAGAAAAAAGAAAGAAAAAAAAATGACTTCATGGAATTAATCTGAGAATTACAGATGGATATAAAATACTCCTGCTTCCAAAGAAAGTTGCTTTCAACGCTTGTGTTAGCTGCCACTTGAGCTGTTGAAACTCATACTTTGCAAAAGACATGGTTACAAGCATATAAAATGGCTCTCCAAACTGCACTTATAATTACACAGTTGGAAACACTTTGGAACTTCATCCTTGTACGTTGATCAAAGTCAAGAATGTCAACAAGTGAAATCCACCTGAAGTCACTACATGTGTCAAAACTGAACTCAGAAATGAACCTATAGCTTTGCCCTGGCAGTGGAATAGAGAAATACAACTTCAACTTAAAATTAGCAGCTCCATATCATATTCATATACATGAACATGTACATGTACATGTACATGTAGAGTAACATCAGTCCTTCATATTAGGACTGTAATTAAATGAAACTACTAGACCCCATCATAAAGAAAC